GACATGATGTTGGGTATGCATGGTGTTCTAAAGCGGACAGGCAAACGTTGTGCGTACGAGTTCGTTTCGAAATATGGTGCCTTGTGGAGACTTACGAGAATCGGTTGAATAGGTCTCCACAAGGAATTTCTAAAGGTGTATAGGTCTCCGTAAGGATTTCAAGAAATGTATATTTGGAAACTGATCAAAAAGGATTTTTAATGTCTAAAAATCTGTCTCAAATTGTGTTTTATATGAGGGACATTCGGTCCAAATTTCAGTCCAGGAGAATGATTCATGTTGAAAAAGGAGCAGTTTAAAAACACCTTTTCACACGCGACCGATTAGTACAAGCACGCACAGTCACACACGACGTTGGAACTCACAAACAGGACGTTCAAATTCACACACACGACGTTTGCCAGTCCGCTTTAGAACCCCATATTTAGGGGAGAAAAATACCAAAAGCCTTACTCGCGGTCCCGACATCCTTACTTTTATTTCACGGTGTTGTTTTCTTATTGTGTTGGTGCTAATATTTGATAAATAATATACCGATTACTTTCCTACCTATGAAGTATTCGTTGTGTAAAAAAAAATAATTAATTAAAAAATCTGCGGGGGCATGTTTCATAAGCCCCCAAATGCCGGCAGAATCGTAATTTGTATGCTGTGAAATGCTCCGTTATTTTGAGCACTTTGTGGCCCATGAAATTGAACATTTGTAGCGAAGAAAGGTGGAAGCTACCAATAGGAATGCCAGCTTTTGTCTGATTGCATTTTGGATGAAGTCGAGGCCCTAAAATGATATTTTTACCATGGAGTGTAGGCATCACTTTTCAAAGTGGCGGTGGTCTTCACGACTTAAAAAGTCATCGGTTAAGCCAGTAAAATACAAAAGAAAATGAAAGATGAGGAAATGAGTTGTAACTTGATGAGTGTCTTGAACATCTCAGAAACTTGTGTTTTTCATAATTTTTTTAAAGTGGGGTACGGGACTTTATTCACTGCTCTGCAACCTTCTGCCCAGACATGATTCGAAGGGATGAAGTCTCACAGCCCGAATACATAAACTCATTCCAGCTTCCTTGTTTTGGAAAGAGCAAAGATGTGACCATGAATGAAAGTGAGCAGTTTGTGGCATGATATTATCTGACAAAGCCGGCAAAAACGCTACAAATATATTCACAGTAAGTATGGCTTGGGTTTTTAATGAGCATACATCGGATCCCTTCGAAAGAACCGTTTTCAGAAGAACCGTTTCAACCCGCGTGTACTTTCTTGAGGATTTATTAAATTGCATTGCAGGAGTGAATAATGTGCTCTGTGGTTAGGCTCAAGTTTTGATGGACATGGAAAGTCGCTTCATCTTTAAATTCCTTAATGCAATAGGCCTATTTGCAGATGTATAATGTTGCACGGACGCCTAACTTGCGCGTGCGGAGAACATTACAATGTGATGTTTTGTGCAAATTATGGGTATCATTTCCATGGGGTTTATTTACCGGTCGTGCGGGACAATTATGTTACTGCCAGGAAAAACGTGATAGACAAATTTTCGAGAAGAGGCAGAAAATGTGGACGTCAGCGCCGGAATAATATTATTGTGTGTACTGAGAACAGCGATGCGTGTGGGCTCTGGTCACTTTGGCAAGAACTACGCTTGTCAGTAAAAAAAAAATGCTTTTGTCATTCTGCTCCGTTCGTCATCCGAACAATATTTTGACAAGATATTTGTAGGCTTATGGTGCTAAACAAGACATGATTGTTTCCCTGAAAACTAATTCTTGTCTTGTCACACTAACAAGATACTGACGCGCATTTCTTAAATTCCTAAATTGCGGGGCTCTTAGAACTCTCTTATACACAATATCTTAAGTGTAAAACTTGTTATCAGTGAACTTGGTGGACAAAGTTTTAGCCGATTTACGTGGGTGCACCCTTTAGTAGGTTCACGAATGACAAAACGCACGCGTTATGGTCGCATTGCTATACCGACAAAACGAACAATCCCCATCAACGTGGCTCTTTTTAACCGATGAGGGGGTGTTTCTACTCAAGGTGGATATCGCTCACTCTTTTGGAGCCCGAAAGAGTGAATATCAATCAAAAAGTGGAGCCACGTAAAGGACAAGTCATTCCCAAGTGATCCTTTATGGCTCCTTGGCAGAGTAGAAATTTCACTCTTTCGAAGTGGTTTTATAAGGGACTCACTCTTTTGGAGAGTGGGTTTTTCAATCTTTTGACTTTAGCGACGTGAATAGACAATCTAAAGTGTATCTATACGGTTTGTCTTCAGCTAGCTGTTACTATTGGAAAGTACAAATTCGCATTTGTTCGCATTTTCTCGCTTTATGGACTCAAAAGTTTGCGCATTTCCATGGTCGAAGCCGATCCCAAAAAACTCAGGCTGTTTGTTTTGTCGCAGATTCTGATTGCAGATCCAGTGATCCAGATTCGAGCAAAAACAAAAAGCTGTTTTCAGTTGGTGGGGGTGGGGGGGGGGACTGCAGATTGTTACACGGCATGCCGGCAGAATGAATTTATTCACGTATCGACGACAGGTGGAAATAAGATGTCAAACTGCAGGAACGAACGTGGCAAGTCCATCTTTCGATGTTTCAAATTACTGAAGAAACTCAGGTTTTTTCGCTCTATCCCGCCATCCATTAGGCACCTCGCCATTTTGTAATCCTGCGTACCTTTCTCACCGGCAGGATCCGTTGCCTAGAGCAGCTATCGGTGCGTCAGATCACCAATCTCGACCGGAATCTGTGCGAAACAAACTTGAGATTCATATTATGTCAGAAAGCATTTTGCTCTACCTTGCAAGGCACGTATTTATATACAGAGTGGAATAGAAGGGGAATTGAACTGAAGGAAACAACATGCTCATATCAAAAGCAGCGCAGTCGAAATTTTAATCCACCAGGGCGAAATCGGTGGAGTTTGAAGGACTGGACATGCACTTAAGTCTTTGTCAACTGTCAAGCAAAGTACGGCTCAAGAATTGAAAAAATGACACACAAGAAAACTGGCATCAATTTTATCAATCCTTCACGAATTTCAAGAAAAGTGACCAAAAACTGCAAAGGGGTTTGAACCTGACAGCACAGAAATTCACTTCAGTGTGAACGTAACAATTGATTTGTACGTATCCAAATTATACTCCAATAGGAAAACTAATCATGCTCGTACAAAAAGGTGCGGATTCTTTCCTCAGAAGATAAACAAGCTCGGCGTCTATAGGCTTCTATTAAGTGTGTGTTCAATACAATGACAATGTATACACACGTGCCATAACTTATTATTTTAAGGATTTTGTTTACACATGTACCTCGTAACGTCATCTCCTCGTTGCTAAGTTACTCGAGCACGCAACACTGATCTTGACCGACGGAAGAGAGGGAGGAGGGTTTGAGGTTTCTGAACCCGTAACTGATGGAAAGTCGCGAGAAAAATCGTTCCTAATCGAGTCGAGCGAAGGCTTCGTCTGCAGGCTCTGCACTCTATTGACCGACGTTTAATTGCTGCCTCCAAGAATTGCTCACGTGAGCTGGTACATCATTGATGGATCGGGTGATAGGATGGGTTGTTCAAATATCGCATGCGACCAAAAATTCACAGACTTGGTTCATGAAAATAAGTTCCATTGGTGTGTTTTAATTGATTGCAGGAGTTAAGCGTACCTGTAATAAAGTATCAACATCGCTTCATTCCCGCGTTTTCCCGCCCTATGAAATAAACCTGGGCCTCTTGTGAGGATCAGATGTGCACAGTATTAGTGAAACTAGTAAGCACAATCTTAGCGAATGCAGAAAACTTTGCTCCGGTTTGGGAAAGTGTACGGGGGATGCGCAACCAGGTTGAGAGGCAAGGGCAAGACTACCGGTAGCCCCGCTTCCCCCGTTCGGACGTCTTTGATGGCCGGCCTCAAGTTATTCGGAGTTAACTGGAATGTTTACTCTGCGAGCAAAATGTAAGACCATTTCCAGCAAAACTGTCGAAGTAAGACAACGGGGGTAGAGTTCACTAAAAGTTTTGTTTCGGTCCCCTCCTCAATGGGTACATGCAGCAGGATGCTTCTTTATCAACACACGAAGTGATCGATGCAATGGGCTTTGAACAGAATTAGATTTCTAATAGTTTCTGAAAAATAAAGAAATTCCAAATTGGACAAAATCTTCTGAGTGGGAATGAAAATCGTACTTGTTTTCAAATGGGTTAGGGCTATATAACTTTTCTAGCCGTAAAATGTTGATTCTGATTTCAATTCTGCATTTTTTACAGACTTAATGGCGAAACAACCCGGGCAACAAAATAAAACTATAAGTCTTCTTAACATCAAGGCCCAGGCTACACGCCGTATCGCTGCCATGCCGACCTGAAATAATTTGAGTTTTAAAAGTTCAGCACAGCAATTGTACGACGTTTGACGCCAATTCGGTTAGGCAAATGGATTCATCTCGGCAAGTCCGATAGGTTCGACAGAGTATACTGCGCGGTCGTTCCCAACGGCGACGGGTCGCTCTCAAATGACGACTTGCTCTTTATCAAGTTCGGCACGGCAGTATAGTAGCCTGCGTAGCCCAGGCCTTAATCAAATTAGTCAAGCGCCAGAAAGAAAAGGCGTTTTCAAACCATCAGTTGAACTCGTTCACTACATAAAACTGATACAGATTTGATCATCGTCAACAGTAGGACAAGGAAAATAATTTAGAAGCGAGTTTCCAGAGGCAGTTTCCGTTAAGACTTCTCTGAGGACTGAGGGTTGCCATTTGAAAAATGGCTGCAATCAGACTTCGGAAAAATCACTTTTTGGGGGGTGATTTTGATTTGTGGGAATAATTAAAAATGTAATTGGTTAACCCACAAAAAAATTGAAAGATTAGTGACCAGAAAAGAATTTCATTTGTGTTTCAGAAATCTCAGGGATGTTGGCGTGCATGTTATTGGGCCCTGAACGGTGCTGATTTTATACTGTTTTCAGTGGGGCTTGAATTAGTGGACTGTGCCATTCTGCCTGATAAACAGCGCCCTCAAGTGTTGAAATTTGACACATGCGCAGTTATACGTTCTCTTTAGCCCAACATGTCGAAGAGAGGTTAGTGGAGAAGTTGTCTTAATTTTCAATCGTCTAACATCGCCCTTCACCGATTGTCTGTGCCTCTAATAAACGCACTAAATTAAACATTTTGTCATACCAATGATGTAGACTTCACTTTTCATCCGTTGGAATAGTAAATGAATCAGTAATTTATAGAGGTTTCTTGTAGTTGTACACCAACTGCGCTAAAGTTCCGCACAACTGTGTAATACATTACGTGTTCCCTCATTGTAACAAAGTAATTTACAACTTACAACCTATACAGGGACCAGAAAAAATACTCTGTGATAACAAGGACTATGCAATAAAAGGAGTGGAAAGCTCTAGAATTCAAAAAACCGGGATTCTCAAATTTTGCTTATTATTAACAGCTATTGTTATAAGGACTAGGCTAGCGCCTAGGCAAATCAATGCCATTTTCCAATTAATCAAAAATAGAGGGAGCTCTGCGAGAGCACTTGTGTTAACATACATGTACCCCCAAGATTGTGTACGTTTTCATGACTTCGATAAATCTGGACCCGTCTTGCACTTGATCCCGACTCCCTTAAATCTTAAGCAGTGGGAACCCTGAGAAAGTGCCTGTTTGGTCCACACACCAGATAGTCATTGGTTGATAGTCATTGAGATACTAATGGCTGTTTCATGTCATAGCAAAATTTACGACGATGCAGTTTTAGTCGTATTACTTGGCAGATTTAATACTACAGGATTTAAAGTTGGGAATAAGATGAATTAGTTGCAAACGTCTAGAAATCAATTTTTCCTTACCGGCATTTTGCAGGACGTGGTGGTTCGTCTGGCTCCAAGTTCCGTATCTCCCTGGGTCTCCCAGTGGGAGCGGTCATCAACTGCGCTGACAACACAGGTCAGTGACACTCCAACTATGCCCTCTTTTTTCCCAATTAATTAAAGATGATCCTTGATTCTAATATAATCTTTGGAACAGTGCAGAAATGTGTTTTCATGTTTCCCTGTGCTAAAAGTAAGCTGACAGTAAACGAATCTATTTTGAAGCACAGTTGCCTCCGAATTAAGATTCAACCTAAGTCAGCAGAAGTCATATTTTGAGCATAGAAGAGACAACATTTGCTTAACCCTCCTGTGCTGAAGTCACTCTTTGGGTCATTTGGTAAACACCTCAAAGAAGCACAGCTGTGTTGTGTTTGCACTGCACCAACAGTCCCTCACAGGAATATCAGAGTGCACTTTTGTGCTGCCCAACAACTGTGCTTCACTGTTTCATGTGCATAATTGTGCAGTAAACCAAATGCAGTGAAGAGGACTGCACAAAAGACCCTGGGTCATTTTGTGCTGGCAACCACCTGTGTACACACTGAACCTGTGCATGTTTGTGTTCCATATAGAAAATACATGCACGAGAGTGACTGTGGGTACTCATGCATATCTGTGCTGTAAAACCAAAGGAGGGTTAAGAAGCAAAATGCGATTTCAGGACTAGATGCTTTTCCCCTTGCTCTCCACTGAAATAGAAAATTATTGGCTCTTAACCTGATGTGCAAGGGGCCTTTATTAAGCACACATTTGTTGGGCAGAGGAACAGTTTCATTAGGGTTGCTGGACCAAATGTGAATTGTTTTGCCTGTATATGCGGTTGATCCCAAGAATCAATCCATCCAGAAGCTGAACAGATTCATCTTTGAAATGTATCATACAAATTTCCAGCAGGAAAATAGCTTTAAAAAGTTTTCTGTTTTGGCAGTTAGTAAAGTAGAATAATACGAGTATTTTGATTAAAAAAATCTATAGGAGGGAATTCATTCCCAGTGTGTCTTTGTGTGACTAACAAGATTCGTTGCTCACTCTATTTGCCATCCAGGCGGGAAGAACCTGTTCGTGATTGCTGTCAAAGGGGTGAAGGGTCGTCTGAACAGGTTGCCAGCGGCAGGATGCGGTGATCTCTTTGTCTCTACCGTCAAGAAGGGAAAACCAGAACTCCGAAAGAAGGGTGAGTTTAGGTGGAAAAAACTTCATCCTGTGGGGTTTGCATGTTATCTGCGGCAGATTGGGGTTGCATCAGATCACCGATGTGCTCAAATGCATGAAACATGTCGACATTCTTCAGATCCAGGAAGCACCGGGACTCTGCTGCACATTTTTCTTTTTTGGGGGGGCGGGGCAGTGTCTTAGTTGAATTACACAGGAGACATTAAAAACAGGCACAAATATGGTAGTACTGCACAAGACAGCCTGTTCCCTGGCTGAAAATGGCTGCTGTGAAGCTTGACTCGAATAATGTAATACAATGATATATCACATGATATACATGTAAGAAGATAGCATTCTACATCTGTCAAACAGCATAGATTGCTGTTATCTATAAGGTGAATGCTTACCCTTAAGAAATAAACCTTGTGGTGCAGATGAGTTGAAATAAGTCCGAATGAATGACAAAATTACCCATTCCCTGGGATGTTGGAATACTATCAACCCAAAGAAATGGTTCTACAATTAGAAAATGTCCCCGTAACATCAAAATGCCACGAACAGAGAAATTTTAGGAGTCAAATCAGTAAAGTTTCTTCGCCACTATTTGTGTTTCTTGTTTCAGTCATCCCGGCGGTGGTTATCAGGCAGAGGAAACCATTCAGGAGACGCGATGGAGTGGTGCTGTACTTTGAAGACAATGCGGGGGTAATCGTCAACAACAAAGGAGAAATGAAAGGTGGGCTTTGTTAGTCCAAAACTCAAGTGTCTTATTTGATGTGGGAGCCATTAAAACATGACTTTGGGAATATAATTGTCCGGGATTGTGTTTACGTTGATACTGTGAAATATGTTAATAAAATACTGGCGAACTGACCTCCAGGTGCACTAATATCCTTCATCTCTTGAATGGTTTGGTTGTGAACAAAAATGTTCGGTTTCTTGACACATCTTGCACATAATATAAAAAGAGCCTGCCCCATGTCATGCCATACAGTAACAGCGTCTCCGAGTCTAGATTGATTGTGAACATGTCAATGCATTATGTAGCAAAAACTCTTCCATTTCGGTTTGTTGGGTTGGTGTGTTGGTTTGTTTCCCTAGTTGTCAAAGCTTTCAGAGGATTAAAGAGGCAATTGTGTGATCTCAGAAAGCTTGCCCCAAATGCTGAAAACGTTTTTTTTCTAGCCATTGTGCTGAAAATTGTGCTGTTTCCATTGTTCATCTGTACACACTCTTACGCGTGGAGCAATTTTTAAAAATTTGCCTGTTATCCTCGATGCTGAAAGATGACTTACATTTCCACATCAGTTAAAACATGCATGGGCTTTATGGTACATGCGGTGTTCTGACTTGTCTCACGTCTGTATTATTTTGTTACGCAATCTATTTAAGACATTCATGTTTTTTTGTTTACTGTTGTGCAGGCTCAGCCATCACTGGACCTGTTGCCAAGGAGTGTGCTGACCTATGGCCTCGTATCGCTAGCAACGCCGGAAGCATTGCCTGATGAGTGGCTCAACGAGGCCCAGTGTCCCCCATCCAATGTGTTGGCAGTGAAATTGAAGTTGACAGAAAAAAAAATCGCTTACTCGGTACTTTTTGTCACGTTTGGGCCCGAGTCCCGTACAAGTGTGATGTAATGGGGCAATTTCATCATTTAACATTTCACTGCAGAATTTAACCTGTGAGTCAACATCACACATCGTGGGTAAAACAATGTAGAGAAGTGCTTCATATGAATAAAGACAAAGTGAAACTCCCAAACAGGCTTTGCATTGCGTTCATTATATTTTGTGCGTCAGAGAAGGGCATCTGTAAGTTGAGCAGAATGAGGAGGAAGATGTTCAGGGAATCCAGACACTTCTAGGATAAATACAATCTTTACAGTTAATTTTGTGAGTAGGTAAGCTGGTCCCTGGTCCAACTGGGAGAGACGACCTCAAGATTTCATAGCACTTCAACTCGGCTCAATACTTTCTGCTGGAGAGCACAGCTGGGGTCGCCTTGTAAAACAAGGATCAAAGCAAAAAATTGACATTGGGAGCATTTCTGGTTTCTGGGGTATCTGGTAATGTACTTAAAAAACTAACACACATAAAACACATGATTATTATTCACAAGTTATTTTCGGTACATATCGAACCCAATTACAATATCTGGACATCAAAAATAGCGTTAGAATTGAAACATCTGTACAATTATAAAAACCTGACAATTCCAAGATAATACAGGATTTTAAACAAATTTTTCACTATAAACAATGGGATCCATCAAATGTCAGGGTGTCTAGTGGCATCCATCTATGGAATTCTTTCCACCTCCCAGATACACATAAGAACTTGGTATACTTTCTTTTTGGGTACTTTTCTTTGAATTTTATTGACGGCAATGCGGGGGGAGGGGAATTAAGGAGGTAATTTCCCTTTAAAAACACAAGTTGGAATAATAAGTCCAGGAAAATCACCAATTTGCATAGAATACCACAGATGTGATCCCCTTTCCACTGTTAATGGAGTATTAGTTTGCTGCTGGTAAGTGCCTTGGCCCCCCCTTCCCATGAAAAAAATCCTAACGATGCCTGTGCCCACTGTCGCTGCCGACTATGCCACATTTAAGAAAGTAAAACACGAGGCTACAATCCATGCAGAAATGGGATCAATTTGGTGGGGGAGATGCTCATTACCAAGAACACTGTACGGAGGTACTCGGGGGGGGGAAGAATATATGCTCAGAAACCAGTCGGGTGATAAACATCGCAGGATGTTCCGACTGGTAACTTGCACCGGTAACCTGTACCCTGAGTGGAGCCAAATGTGTCAGTCTTCAGCAAGTTCGTCTGCTGCACATTTTTGTCAAGTTGGACCCCTTCTTGCTTCATAAAAGCACTCTTTTGTTGTCATAGAGACACTTCCTGCATATTATTCCTTGAACTGTTTCTTTTTAACCTCTTTCTCAATGTCCTTCATCCCTTCCCTCAGTTCTTTAGCAAAGTTCTGTGTGAAAGATGCGAGTCTCGTGCCCTTCTCTTCCCGCCGTCTGGTATCGTCGGCCATCTTCTTAAGAATCTCAGATTCTGATGCCTTCTCAATCGCTTCATGACCTGCATTGAAGTATACACTGTTAACACTGCCAATCAATCTGCAATTTTCTTGAGATGTTTTGTGTCAAAGAAAAAAACAAAAATCCATGATAGGGCTCATGTCCTCCCTCAAAAATTGTCAAGCACCAATCCCTGAAACCTTTCCTTACTGTTACAGGTTAACTGGTTTACTATAACAACCTGCATCAACATTTGTGCACAAATGTATTGGACCTTCCCAATTTCTTCCCCTATCATTCTACATACAGTTTAACAGGTTTTGAAACAATCAGCTTTGAACAAGTGGTTATGCTATCATCATGACTCGGGAATTTGGAATACCCTGATCACATGTTACAAAACTTACTCATAGCCTGGGCTTTATTAATGGAGTATGCTGTTATCTGGGCTATTCTCCTCATGACACGAGACTCGGCGAGCTGGAAGTAGCAAAAATAAAAGGGAAAGGAAAATGACGAGGCTCAGGAAATGTGCCGTGCTGTAAAACGGTTGATGAAGTTTATATTCTACCTAATTAAGGTTCAACAATCAATACAACCAAGTTAGATAACTCGAGCTGATTGTAAATTATGTATTGGAGGTAATCCACACATTAATTACAGACCTACTGGCACATGACTTGAGAAATAGGTGATTGTTGAAAACATGCCAGTCAGACTTACCTTTTCTATAAGTTGCTCGTTATTTGCAAGATATCTGAAAGTGAAGACGTAACAAATTGAGAACCATGAAACTGCTACAATGGCTCCAAAATGTTATTGTTAATAAAAAGTTCTTAAATTCTCTACAATCAATTTAAGATCTTGATAAGAAGATATCTTCATTGCATGAATGCATAACTGTTGCTTTTCTGAAGTTTTAAATCAGTGCTTTTGTCAAAATTGTCAAAGATTTCACTCTGAACCTTGAGACAGGACAGGACTAGAACATGTCCAACTTTTTCATAAGATGAATCACTCGGTAGTCTGGTGGTGTGACCGTGTAGAGAGGATAAAAAGAAAGAGAGGCTTGGCACCAGACGTTTCTCTTGACAGAGGACTGTACTCATGCAGCATCAAAGCAATGATGGACAGGTGGTCTCTTACGCCAGTCTAATTTGTTTGCACAGCATGTTTATACTAAGAAATATGGAAGGGCTGCGTAACACCGTGATCAGAATATTGACAAGAATATAATATAAAATTATAATCTGCTTGCCCTGAAGAAGGTACTCAGTTACCGAAAGCTAATTATATTCTTGTCAATATGTTTATACTATTTGAGTTTAAGAACTCTCATTCACCAAGTTTGGGACTGGACTAGGTTTTTCAGGCACCACAAAACCAAAGTTGCTAAACCATTCTGGCCTGATGAAGGGCGTGAGTCCTGGGGAAAAATGCAAAGGAAGTCTCATGATGAGTGACTTTGAATACCTTAAGAGAAATCTAAGAGGCATGGTGCCTGCCGACCACTTGCTTGTTCAACTACTTGACTTCAGGTGCTGACATTCAAGGGATCATGAACTAGCCGGCCTGGCTGGTTTCTTGCTTTCAAAGCATTTGGATGTTGGCTGAAATAAAAGATAAGTAGAACAAATTGAAGAGAATGCCAAAATGAATTTCAAATATGGCTGCTTCATCATATTCATGACCACGTGAATAAATAAAGCGGTATATAATACAGATTAGTTGAGTTGAAATAAGAATTCAAAGCATGAGTTCCATATTCTTCAACAAGCACAAGTCCCAGCTCTGAGTGTAATGTCTCGGGACTATGAAAACAAGTCCATTCAGTTTACACGTACATGCCTAATAAGTTAGGGATAACTGAAATTGTCTGAAGAAAAACTCATGCTTTAGCCTTTGTAAGTCACGGGTTTTATTCATAAAATAGATAGGATTTATATAACTTGAGAATTGTGGTGGCCGGATATGTAGCTCTTTCTGTCTTCTTGTGTCTACTGATCGCACTCAACCAAAAATAAATGAATAAATAAAAAAATGTTAAAAAAACTGATGATAAAAAATTACATAAAAACTCTTCCAACTGAAAGAGTGGCCAAAAGTCTCAAACGTTTTCAAAAAATAGAAAGTGAAGGTTTGAGTTCCAACATGATCATCACAAATTTCCCCTGAAGTGGCATATCAGCCATCAGAAAGTGACATGTCCTAAAATATCATATTTAGTAGGAAAAATATTGAAGAGTATACTTAGAAACCACTTAAAATATTTTCAGTCCAGTCTCATAGGGTTTGTGCACTGGGCGTCAAGTAAATGTAAAGGGATGTCAGTGTATGGAACTCTTTCCAAAGTGAGTAATATTTGTTACTCTGGCGTGCTTTTCCTGGGCATCTATTCTAGATGTATTGAGGCAGGGATTTGTTTGAATTTCCCAACTTCCTCAGGTTAGATCATGTAGATTGCACAAAGCCGTGCCCTATTTCTGTAACACTCAATGTCCTGCGGGGGAGGGGGGCACGAGGTAAGTAGTTAGGGTTTGTGACTTCCAGTCATAGGGTTGGAGGTTCGAATCCAGCTGGTGTCAGTATGGCAGTATCCAGGCCTGTGTCATATATATGATGTATGTAAATATATCACCCTGGAAATATTGTCACGCTTCAAAGAAATTATCTTAGAGTTAATGTATCTTTTCACAGATGACAGTCTGAATCTCACCTCCATGTTAAGGGGATTGTGAATTTGGGATACCTACATCTTAACTTTTGGATTCCCCAAGGTACATGACTGTGACATATGCTCAATAACTGTATAACTATAAGCCTTATCGCTAATGTCATGAATGAGTAATGCACATGGCTGATATTGCACAACTGTGGAAAGGCATTGTATTTGTAGGAAGAAAAAAGGGGCAATGTTTCCCCTTTTTCCTTCACATGAAGCCTTTATACTATTGTGCAAAATCACTCTTGCAGTATTACCAAGTCTTATTGCTAATACTAACTTAATAAGGCTTAGGCCTATCAATTATGATGTGAAAAGACAGCATACTGCCTGCTGTACTGGCATGGTTTTGAATTTTGTGGGAAATTATGAGGGGAACTGTGGGTGTTAAATCATGGCTACCTCCATGGTTAAATTTAACACGACACACAGTGGAATCAAATTTGCATGGCTGGTTTATCACTAGGAAAGTAACATTTTCTCACGATTGAGAATTTGAAATTTCCAAAAAACAGGGCCAGGGCAGTTCAGAGATGGCATGGTTTTTTGGGGGGGGGGGAATGACCGGTGTTACACAGATTACAATAACAAAAACTTGGGGGGGGTCCCCAAATTCACGATCCCCTATGTTATGATGTACTATCCGTTTATCAAATTGAAGAATACAGGAAAAAAGACTCACTAGCAACGTACTCGGATCTTACGGTAGACATGGATAGCAGAGTGTGGTATAGACGTCGTTCTTGGCTCGTTCTTGTGTCGAGATGGATTTACAGTCACTTCGCCCGTTTTCCATTTCGCCCATTTGCTACTTCGCCCATTTGCCACTTACACCGTTTACCACTTCGCCCCTTGATTGCCATTTCGCCCACGGGCCAGTTCGCCCACAGCTTAAATTATCGAAGTTGGAAAGCGCCATGAAGACACGGACAAACAACTACCCAACCCCCCAGAATTCTTCCTTAACGTCAACAAAGATAAAAGATGAGATGGGAATAACAGTATGGTTGTTTTTGAAATGTCAAGAGGTTTTCTTTTATGTTAAACCAGACCCACACCCAAAGTCTGCCAGCCTAACTGCACTGAGGAATATTCAACGTAAAGCGGCTCGCCTTGTAACCGGAAAGTACGCGAGATACGCCAGTGCAACGACCATGTTGAAAAAACTACAGTGGATGCCCCCAGAGTCCTTGAATGGAACCAACTCCCCCACTTTCGAAACTTTAATCCGGCCTGTTGGCCATGGATATTAATTAAGTCCCTTTTAAACCGCGCCCACCCTCTTGACTAAATTGTTGCCTGCAGTGTCGCCAACTTTCTAACACTACGCATGCGCGTTTGTAACCCTTCAGGCCTAATCTTAGGTCCAATCATACTTCTAAGTGTGTAAATAATCAGCTGCTCTCCTAACCCCGTTGTTGCCTCTTCCTTATTTGTAACCTCATTTTGTGTTCGCATTCAGTTCATGCAACCTGATGTTAAATATAAGCCTACAATCAATCACCAACACAGCACAACGGCGAAAACCTGACATCCAGAGCATAGGCCTAATGCGCCATCTTCGGCGCAAATTCAAATTGTAGGCCCGACACTTAATTAAGTCGGCCTTACATCGCAACGTGACGTCAAATATACAAACCAATCGCCAGTGTTGGCAAACGTACGGCTGGCACGCCGACTTCAAAATGCAAACCGCACGCTACATCTGCGCAACGTCAGCACTATCTCGTCGACGTCAAATAATTCAACCAATCGCCAACGTCGAGGGTGTTTGCGCAGTACGTGTACGTAGCAGAAGAGCAAAAGCAGATTAGTGTCTCCAGTGACAACATAAAAGTACCTGACAGTCCAGAAAGTAGGCCTATTAACTTACACCTTGCGTTCTTAAAATAACCAGGGTAAGACTTCGTTTAGGTCACGACTTCTACTTCGGTCTTGTCTACCCTGCAAGGCTGCGTCTGACTTCGTTTTGGCTTAAGCGCTCAAAATCACACCTCAGTCGTGTGTGACGGCTTATAACAAACTTCCTTGTGTACTTGTGACTTGAACTGTGATCAGATGACTAACTTGATTTAATGACTTATGACTTGGCTTAGACTTGCAAAACTGACTTGTGTCTCGACATGGACTTACAAAAATTGACTTGCTACCACCTCGCGCGCCCTGCTTGCTTGAGAAAGTTGGGCATGCAACTCTATCATGCCGGGACATGCATACCACGCGAACTTGTGCAAGTGGCGCGCTGACGAAGTCCGGTGGCGCGTCTTTCTAGTGGGTACCGGTGAAAATATAAATGGGCAAAGTGGCAAATGGGCAAAAAGCCGCATGGGCGAAGAGGTATTTGGGCGAAGTGACTGGCACCCGTCGGGATTCTTGTATCTCCAAATGCTCTTCCGGATAAATTGCTGTCAGGATACCAGACTTAAATCGCTGATGTAATTGTATAATTATACTACTTTATTAGTCGCAGTTCGTGTCAGCATTCGGAGTTACCGTGCACTAACGTGATATGCAGAAGATGTCGAACTTTTCAGAGCACGAATGAGAACGACTTGAACAAAGACCTCTGCATTAAGAAGTCAGCTAGCTGCTGTCCCCAGTGAAGTCTGTGTGCTGTCGACTTAAGCGAGAAACATTTAGCTAAAACTTGATACAAATGGGTTTAGGTTTCGAGTTCCAGAGTTTTGCTTAGCTGAGTTCTATTTGTAGAGTGTTGTATGAAATAAGTACGTAGCAGAATGGAAATAATTTTCCAGAATATTCTTCCCTTTCTGAGTCTCGAGCTCGCTACTCCTTATGTACTGTGCACTCAGTCAGTGCAAGTTGCAAATGACTGAATGAGGCATCATTTGCCTTTCCCCGTTCAATCCACACTGTCCATGTTTCATAGGCTGACACACAACCGCTTTCGTCCCGGTAAAATGGCCAAACTGGAAAGCCTGAACTTTGACAATCTGGCCCTTCGTTCTCTGCCAATTGACCCAGAAACCGAGAACTTCACCAGGAGTGTCAAGGGGGCGTGTTTCTCCAGGACCTCCCCTGACCCGGTTGTCAATCCAGAGATGGTTGCAGTTTCCCTACCGGCTCTCCACCTGCTGGATCTGGACGAGAAAGAGTGTGACAGGTCGGAGTTTGCCCAATATTTTTCCGGGAACAAGCTCTTGCCCGGCGCAGAGGTGGCTGCCCATTGCTACTGTGGACATCAGTTTGGCTACTTCTCTGGCCAACTGGGAGATGGGGCTGCAATGTAAGTTATCCTGTTGACTTTTTCCAGCAGCAGTAGAGTCCGCTGTTGATGGCCTACTCTCAAGATTCCGTGATGGATACATCACATGCACGCATTGACTTGTTTTTACCTTACTGGTATGGCACAGACAAATTTTTATCGGAATGTGCATCTTTTCCATGATGTTTTTCTATTTCTTTTCACTCAGGTATTTGCAAATATAAAATTTAAATCAGTCAATTGGTATCAATGTATGTCGTGTAGGATCAGTTGATCAGCATTACTGTGGTACGATCGTTTTGCGCTGTCAGTTTATCCTGTGTAAAAACTCGGGCATTACTTCCCGTTGTTGAGACAATCTTTCACCAGGTGTGGCAGAATGATTTTCAAAGGGGTAGGCTGTTGTGAGCTCATCACACATTAGCCATTCATTGACTGATCCACTAAGCCCCATCCTGTTGTTGGACCTGCCAAAAAAGGGGAAGGGGGAGCCCCCATCGCAAAAATGGGGGGAGGGGCCTTCCCCCTGCTTCTGCTGCCAGTGTCTTCCACAACCATGAATTCGAAAGAGAAGGTGATTGGCTGATGGCAGAATCGTTGGCAAATCGTGCGACACGAGTGACAGATTAAGTAAAGATTGATCAGAACCAAAATATACAAAATAATTTATACTTTGTGTAAACCAAGCACTATTTTAAAAACAATTGTAGCCCATCAAGATTTGATGACATTCAATTCAAAACAGTCTTCTGCATTGTCAATTGATTGTTCATTTGCAAGTTTGCAAGTGGAAAACTAAACTGGCTCATGAGTGAAGCATATCAGTTGCCTGATGGTATATAGAGGATGATCATGTATACCCAGACCTTCCTTTGTGATTCTTTTTTACAAATGCGAGAGATGATTTACTGTCTGTGTGTATGTCAACTTGCCAAATTTGCTAATGATTGCATTGCATCACAGGTACCTTGGAGAGGTAATAAATTCGGCCGGTGAGCGTTGGGAGATTCAGCTCAAGGGAGCAGGGCCGACCCCTTACTCCAGGCAGAGTGATGGGAGGAAGGTACTTCGCTCCACCATCAGGGAGTTCCTGTGTAGTGAGGCCATGCATCACCTGGGTATCCCTTCAACACGAGGTGTATATCAAATCTTGTTGTATATGGCAGTATTTGTTATGTCCAACTATAGCATCTGTCCCAATTACAGTTGGGACTGTCCCAAATGTTGTATAGTGTGAACCAGTGTGTGCCGTAGCCTGTGCCTAGTTTTTATTGGTATCTTAAGGCCTTTTCACACGAGCGCTGAAACCACACATCTGCGACAATCAGTGCCACAGTGTCTGTGTCTTACGATGTGTAAGATTTCTTTGCGGGCTTTCACATGGTGCAATGTTTATCACGTAACTGACGTTCCTCGTTTTGCCACGATTTGCAATTGTGGTCAAAGGTTAAATTGCATCGCTGGTACTTTGCTATGTTTTTAATGTTAGAATCATGCGGTACTTGCAATTTTCTCACCATGCATTTGTAGGCAATGCGTTCTTCATGGAATTCGATCGTTCATGTAGTTTATTGCGTGTCTGTACTATGTTCCGTTCTGCTAGCCTACATGCTAGATTAGCAGTCCGAGTGGAAGGAAGATGCAAAGACCTTCCATTTTTCGACAATTTGGAGTAGCCAACCGCCATTCTAGAAGATGTCAACCAATGGGTGCGCATATGTAATGAGATTCAACTCAAAGGACCCTTGTGACGATCACATGCTCTGCATTCACATGGATGATCGCGGTGATCATTACACAGTTTTTGCATTGATGCGAAGTTTTGGAGGAGGTCTCGATTACCGCGACAATCGCTCGGGCCCTGTGCTATAACCGTGTGATTTTTTGACAGAGGTCGATCTTCACATTGCGGTATCACTGCAATTGTAACATCAATGTGATTTCATAGCATAGGACCTTTGTTGTCGGTGCTCTTTTGAAAAGGCCTATGGATGAAATGCCAGGTTGGCATGTTTTGGATGAATTCTATCAGATGTGACCTGCAAAAATCCGAATAAGATTGAGAAATTTGTGATGCTTTAATTGGGCCTGTCCCAACTGTAGTTTGGATTGATGTGATACAGGTAGTTGGGGATGTAACGTATGTAAGTTCAACTGACTGTATATGTGCCCTATTAAATCAGTTCCATTCTGCTTTGCAATTTTAGCCGGTTCCTGTGTCACCTCTGACACCAAGATTGTTCGGGACGTGTTCTATAGTGGCAATCCCATTAGAGAGAGAGTAACTCTGGTCCTACGAATCGCACCAACATTTTTCAGGTGAGGAAATTTGTTTTTAAAAGAGACTTTCTTTTTTTTATCACAAATTAGACTTTTTGAATAATTGAAAGAATGATGAACAAGATAATATGATAAATGATACCTTGGCTCCTGACTGATTTTACACTTAGAAATCATTTTGGTAAATGGAATGTGTCAACATCAGGATCATCACCAAAAGGAAATTACCCAGCCCCTCCGCAGCCCCACCTGATCCCGCCCAACACCATCCCACCCCACCCAACGCCACCCCACCTCACTGCACCTAGACCCATCCGACTTACCCCACCCCGCCCAATCTCACCTCACCCCTCCCTGCAGCTTAATGATAGACACTGCTTACTTCTCTACTCGATACTTTGTTGGTACACGTCCACGGATTCCTCCGTCAAGGTCTTCTAATGGTGTTTTCCCCATCAAGAGCTTGGAATATTTTGCACCACTCAGTTTCACTTTGAAATGGGAACTCACGACAGGTACTCCCAACATTCTTTATCTCTAGATTTGGTTCGTTTGAGATATTTAAGCCTGTGGACCGGATGACTGGTCGTGGTGGGCCGAGTGTGGGAAGGAAAGACGTATTGGAACAGATGCTGGAATATGTTATCAAGACGTTTTTCCCAGAGGTGAGTCAATCAGTGATGAGGTAGATTGTTGATGATTTGGTTTCACAATGGCAACAACTTTGGCATGGGTACCTCAGTTTCTTGGTGGGTGAATTTGTTCTTACTTTAAGAATTTTTAAATCTTATTTTTTTCTGCAGGTTTGATTCTGTTAGATTCAACAGATGAGCTACATAGTAATGTCCCAATAGGCTGTGTGGAGAAGCCTTGGATAGGCTTAGTGTTAAACTGTTTCGTTTCTTTCTTTGTTAATTAGATCTATGAGCAGCAGAAGGATAACGCACAGGAGCGTTATCTTGCCTTCTACCGTGAAGTCATCAAGTTAACAGCACAGCTTGTTGCCAGATGGCAATGTGTTGGCTTCTGTCATGGGTAAGTAAGCAATACCAGAATTTCACAAGGAATGCGATATACACCGGGGTGACTACTGGGTGGGTGCTTGTCCTTGTGGGTGTGAACTGCAGAAGGGTGCTGAATGATGTACTTTGATGTTGGCCGACTGTAGGATGCTCCGGAGTTGGTGGGAGGTGGGTCCCAGGTACGGTAGACATACTGTGGCGGTGGGAGTTTGGGGGGCTTTGGATGAAGGTGACCCTAATGCCGTTGGGGATGGGGGACTTTGGGTATAGGAGATCCTAACGTCCTGGGGGAAGGCTTGGAAAGGTTGATACATTGGTTGCGGTAGCTGTTCATCTTGAGGGTGGACTTGACGTGGTGGAGTTCTTGGCGTAGGTTGTTCTGGTCGCAGATCTCGTAGGCTCTGCAGACCAGGGTGCGGTTGACTGAGGTCTTGATGGCTGGGTGGTGGAAAGATCTTTGGTGCAGGTACCGTGGTGTGGGTGGGCTTGCGGTGGACACGGTGGTTGAGGGTGCCGTCTGGGTTTCTGGATTGGTGAACATCTAAGAAGGAGAGGTGTCCGTCTTGTTCTTGTTCCATGGTGAACTTGATATTAGGGTGTTACTGATTGGGATACTCAAAGAATTCTTGGAGGTGATCTTGACCATGGGGTCATATGACGAATGTGTCGTCAACATAGCGCAGTCAAATGGCGGGTTTGAAGTCGGAGGTGAGGAGAGATGATGTTTCAAATTCTTCCATGAAGATGGTAGGACCGGGGATATAGGGGATCCCATGAGTGTGTGCTTTCTTTCACATTGCATGTGTGTATGTCAGTACCTTGGTTTGTACGCATGTATCTAAGTGTTCTTTTTGACTTTGTATGTCATTTTTATCATTCCATTTTTTGATAAAATTTTGATATTTTTATCAATCAATTTTACATAACCTTTTTGTATATATAGTTCCTTGTAACTTATAAAGTTTTAATGTTATAATTGTAAAATCAGACTGAAATTCAGCCTTTAGCTGCAAGAGTTTGGTTAATAAACCATAAATAATAATAATAATAATGAACACTTTCGTCCACTTGACAGCGTGTTAAATACTGACAACATGAGCATTCTTGGTCTGACCATTGACTATGGCCCATATGGTTTCCTGGATGCCTATAACCCAGACCACATCTGTAACACTTCAGGTAAGGTATTGCCCCGTCAGAGGGATGTTCTCAAAATTGCTTATTTCTGACTTTGTTAAATTCAAGGATTTTGAAAAGTGATTTAATCCACTTGGAATGTGCAAATAAGAGCAGCAAAGAAACAGCCGTCATTCAGCTTGAATAGGCTGTGTTGAAGTGATGAGATTGTGCATGTTCTCTTACTACATGTAGATCTGTCTGGATTCACAGACTTCATACTTTGTGGTTTGTAGTTTCAGTTTGGACTCTGGAGAGTAACTCCGAACCTGAGAAAACATTGGGGCTACATTTGCTTCAGCGTCTGCTATTTGCTGTTCGCACGCTGTCGCCATAAGCATGCAGAACCTAGATCTGGCAGCTTTGAACAATAAATATAGCTGGTTCAGTGATTCCTGTGTATGTTGCTTAGTAATTGTTGCGCGTGCTGCATTAGTGACCTCCAGACACCCCTGTCAAGAGCAAGGGACCAGCACTCATTTGGAGACAGCTGCACAGCGCCGGCAACCTGCTTAAGCCAATTGAGACAGGGGCGGCCGTGGATACACCTGGACAAAATTTCAAAAGGCTGCATTGACGCGATTCTGACGGGAATTTACAAGCTGCCATTTTGAGGCTCTGCATGCCCATGACGGCAACGTGCAAAGAGCAAATGGTGGTTGAATATAAAGCCTGTCCCCATTATTTGTTGGTCACAGACGATGGTGGTCGATACACCTACATCAAGCAGCCCGCCATTTGCCGTTGGAATCTGGAGAAGTTTGCCGAGGCGATTCAGATGGCACTGCCAGTAGACTTGTCCAAGGCAGAGCTGGGACTGTACGACGAGGAGTTTGACAAGTGCTACATGCGCCAGATGAGGAACAAACTGGGCCTCCTGAGGAAGGAGTTACCAGAAGACAAGTAAGGGATGTGTTGGAATTACAGATACACTTAAAACAAAAATACATTGGCAAAGAGCCAACTATTGTAATGGTAATATAATGCCTACATTACTTGGCATTTTTGGGGGTTTTGTTCATAAACCAATCATTTAAAGTCCCCGCAAGTCCCTGTAAGTCCATCACAAGTCATTCGGTCTTAAGCCAATTAATATACTATGCAAATGAGCTGTGATAAAAGCATTCTTTTGTCATTATTCGCCCTCATACCTAAGACTGGCCTTGTGAAAGCACTTGTGACTGGACTTGTGAAGGGACTTGTGAAAGCACTTGTGAAAGGACTTGTGAAAGCACTTGTGACTGGACTTGTGAAGGGACTTGTGAAAGGACTTGTGAAGGGACTTGTGAAAGGACTTGTGAAAGGACTTGTGAAGGGACTTGTGAAAGGACTTGTGAAAGGACTTGTGAAGGGACTTGTGAAGGGACTTGTGAAGGGACTTGTGATGGACTCGAATACAACACTGCTAGTGAGAACTGTAATCAAGTACTAAATCTTCGGAACAGCACTGCTTGAACAATTCTACAAAGTGCTTAGCAAGTAGTTTGTGACAACTTGTCTTTGAAGCTTAGTTCTTCTTCTGATCCTAAAGAGCCTCCCATTCCCTGTGGTCAGAATTTACTTTTTAATGCCTGTACTATGTAGCTTTATCCACACCAAAACATATCTGGCAGTAACCTTGGCTCTGGGAAAGTACGGTGCTACAGTTTTGCAGAAACTACAAGGATACTTGAATTTACCAACAGGGCCCTCGTGGAATCGTTCCTTGACACTATGCTCCAGACCCAGGCAGATTTCACCAACTCTTTCCGGTGTCTGAGTCGACTAAGACTACCTGGCTTTCCGGACAGTGAGACGAGTGGTGACAATGATGATGCTGTAATGATGTACCTGCTGGCTCAGTGCAGCACTGCAGAAGAGATGAAGAAATCCATGACACCCCGGATGGATGCCAGGTTAGGGGGACTTTTGGAAGGGGTTGGGGCTTGGGGAGACTTCTAATGAAGGGTGTTCAAGGGTTTTCAAGGGTTTTCAAGGGTGTTCAAGGGTTTTCAAGGGTTTTTAATTCTTAAAATCAGACTCTGGAGCTGATCTGTGGGTGAGATTTGTCAAGATGTTTCCTGATTTTGGGATTTATCATCAGGATATATCTAAATGAAAAAAAGTCAGCATTTTTTTAAACAATCTCTTTTAAAATCCCGAAAATCCTGAGTATTTCACTGTGATATTTGACATTTGAAAGTTTCTATACCATTAAGCTTCCACTGTTTTGATAGTCCCCTCAATCTCAGGTGATTCCTTTGTTGATATTTCAGTTTCCTCCAAGCTCACCCGTAGGGCCTGCTGTTTGAGAGCCTAAACTGTGGGGGAGGTTTTCATTACATAAAATGGACATAGCCGATCCCAACAATACTAGAATATTGACCCCAAAATGGCTCTGCATATATTGTATTTGTAGGGGGTGTTCTCATTTGTTACACGGTCCACGATATTCATCCCAACTCTTCTATGGATCAGTCTGTGAAGATGTCATTGCTGTGGTGGCACTGTACTCACAGGCATATTTTTAAGCTTGATTTGTAAGCTTGATTTAGCAAGTAGTTGCACCCCGTTGGTCGAAATGGCGTGCAGTCCTCGCATACCATATGTCCATGAGCATTGAGCAACCTGAGTAGTGGTAACCAATCCTGGTTGCAGAATTACCCTATAGTCTCCCACATCCACCAGTAGGATTTCATGGGCTTTTGTATGATTCAGGAAGGTACGCCCTAATCCCTGTTACTTTATGTGGAATGGAACTCAGTGCCCTACAAAAGCTCGAAGTGGTGGCGATTTCCTTTAGAGTGGAAGACTTTCAGGCTGCAGGGAATGTTTCCAGTGAGGTGCCTTAGAAGGAGTCAGGATTGATAAACACCTGTCTTGGTTTACCCCACAGAGAGTTGCAGATGATGATGATGTTGATGCAGATGAACCCTGACCTCTTGGCGCAGCTGGGAGGGGGACACAGGCGTCTCATACAGGAACTGGAACGGATGGAGAAAGCAAAGGAAATGAAGGTCAGTTGTCACCCCTCGTCATTCACCATCCAAGATTTGGGGAGGCAGTTTATTTGGGGATATTGATTTGAATACACTGGTTGACACCTGAAAGGAACAAATGTTGTACCTCCAGACAAGCCTTCAGCTCTCAATAGAGAGTGGAAACCATAAACAGCAGCACCTCCAGGTTCATCAGAGACAGACGAATCACTTAAGATGGGGGGGGGGCTTCTTTGTTTCAAGTTTATTTCAATTACTTGTAGTGTGCAGATTTTTCACGTACATGTATTTGGTTTTCAAAGCTTGGTTCATGCGAAATAAAACCTGACAGTATTTGTAGAAAAGTAACATTTTAAACATTAAAATTCCAAAGTTTAACCACTCCCAGCCGGGCGATCCGTTTTCGAGTACATAGGCTTTATATGCAGAGCCGGGGAGCCGGGAACTGGGACTAAAGAGTTGGGCCTTATAACAAAAGACCGTGCTCAGCACAAAAGACTGAGCTACTGGGCATTACCGACATTTTTCGCTCTCAATAGTGGAGATAATCCAGCCTCGTTTTGAAACAGTATACTATGGTTTGAGGCATTTAGAGTGAGCGGATTACCGCCGGTGACAAAAGCTCTCCGCTCCGCTGCACGCTAATCTGGCCCCTATTGAAAAGAGATCAGCAGTACACTGTGCCGGTTTCGGGAACAAAAGAATCTCACGTAACACCGCACAATCTGGTCTCTTCTTCCAAGGCTGCAGGCCTGGCTGAAATATTCAAAAGTCAATGAAGGTAACTGTCAGCTTTAGAATAGTGCCCAAAGAGTCCTTCATGTAGGTATCAATGGCTATTAAATGAAATGATGAATTTTTGGAGAATTTTGAAAACGGAAGATCTTGAAAAGGACCCGGCATCTTGTCTTGCTCAAGAAAAATCCACCCGGCAGCAAGTGGTTAAGATCCCAAAAATATCCAGTTGGAAACTCTGAAGTTGTGTTTTGTGCTGTTTTGACTCAGTAAACATAACAAAAATAGAAACCAGGTCTCATTTGTATTTACTGAAATGTTTTGCAACCTTTAGAATCTTACTCAGGAAGAGAAAACCAAGACTGACCGAGCCAAATGGGAGGCATGGCTGGACTCCTACAGGAAGAGGCTCATCAAGGAGACAGAAGGGCTGGACAGTGAGAGCGCCCTCGGGGAGTTCAATCAGAAGAGGGTGAAAACCATGAACGCCAGCAACCCTAGGTTCATCCTGAGAAACTATATTGCACAGAATGCAATTGAGGCAGCCGAGAAAGGGGACTTTACTGAGGTGGGTGTGGCCTATGAGAGGGTACAGTAGATAGAGTGCTGTATGGTCTACATTTTTGACAGGCACTAGTTGAAAGGGTCTGCAGGTCATGCACAGGGGTGTATTTTTGAGGGTTACATCGAGCTCACCCAGCGCATATGCACAGACTGTACATTCCTACAGAAATTGGTTGTGTGTGCTTACCTGGCTAACCGCCCTTGTTTCCATGTATAAAGATGCCATCTCTACCTGCACGGAGCGGAAACTCTGCCTGTGTACCATCAAATGTTGAAAGTGTTCAGGGTGTCCAGTACAGGTGAACGGAGATCGCCTCTTGTGTCTTAAAATGCAGTGTGGTTAAATGTGGATCTGAGAAAACTTTAACTGTGGTTAGTTTTTGAAAGTTGATGTTTTTAAATTTTGTCTGTTGGTGCTCAGGTTCAACGTGTTCTGAAGCTGTTAGAAACGCCATACAGTGATACCGTAGACCTTGGTAGCCTGGCAACCAAACAGTCAACATCAAGTGCAACTACGGATGAAGATGCTGGTGAGGCTTTTGTACTGAGTGATTTCACTCAGGTTGTTTGTTCATTTCAAATCAATTTTTACATAGGGTGTTTTGCTATTTATCGGCAAATATGTGTAAACTCTATTCTCAGTGTTTCCGAAGGCTTTGTGAAAAGATTTTTGTTCGCAAGCCCTTGAAAAATGATGAAAATAGAGTTTTATAAATATATGGCCTGGTGTACAAAACACCCAATTTCAAAATAACCTCTCCCCAATATAAAAAATGAAAAAATAAAAATTGCTTCTTGTAAATTTTAAGTCAGCTTATGTCACTGTTTGATCTGTTATTGAAAGTGACAGGTATATTTTATTTGTTGGCTATTCTTATGAATAGAAGTCTTTAGAGATTTTTTAAGGGCTTCGTGCACATTATGGAAATGAAAAAGTAACCAAAGTGAGCCCTGTGCCCAATTTTTCTCCTGAGTTGATAGGAGCACAAGCAGAAATTGAGAGACTGCTCCAAGGCATTGCTGTCAGCTGGATTTGAATCTTGAACCTTTCAAATGAGAGTCAAGGGTTTGAGCCACTGCGTGGGGTTTTCACACGATTTTTAACATCTCACAACTGCAGGTGCCTCATCATCAGTTGGGTCATGTCAGCCAGCAGTCACGCCTATCAAGAGTTGTGCGGGGTTGGCCTACGACAGCCGACCGCCCCAGTGGGCGTCTGAGCTACGAGTTACCTGATCCTCGTAAACTGTCTCAGTGTTGAAAATGAGGTTGCAGCACAGCACACATCAACATGGCAATAAATGTGTCCCCTTTTTCAAAATTTTGGCTAACAGCATGTGTACTTTGTCAGCAAGTAATTTTGATTTCTGTGCAAAGGTACCACGCCCGAGCCAGGATTCTGGTTTTAAGACTTTGGGCCTGAATTTCTGTGCAAGTTCCTGTAAGCACAAAATTGTGATCATAAGCCCTGAAATTTGTCTTTACTGGTATGATGTTTGAGTTTATGAGCTGCAACCTTTTCACTGAGACTTGCGATAAGTCAGAACCTACTTAGCACACAGCGCACGTGAAATTTCTGAAGGAAAACCTTTTAACCTTACATGATGTTTATTTATCTTTCTTGACAGCAAGTTTTTTTTTGTAATGGGTCTACAATACTGCCATTTCACAATAGTGCACCACCGAGAGTTTGCTACGTGTTGGCCAATCACAATGCGCAAAATTTGTCGACCCAATGCGCGTTTAGAAAGGGTTGATAAATTTGGCACGTTATGATTGGCCAACATGTTGCAAACTCTTGGTGGCACACTATTGTGAATCGCCCGTATTAGAATTGACCATTGTTTGGTGTGTGTGTGTTGTGTGCTAGCCTATGACAACACAGGTACAAATCCAGAGCATGCTGGGATACCTGTGTTTGATAAAAGGTGACTGGTTTATCACTCAGAACCTTATACTGATATGTTCATGAAGAACGTTAAAATAACCAAATATTTTCACCTGGAGTGAAGACATTATGACTGTGAAGAGATTATGACTGCTTTGTGAAGCTGTTCTGAATTATTTTGAATTCTGTAAATTATTTCACTGCTCTGAAGCTAAAGGGGGGTGGATTAGAAATTTATAACTTCTTCCGATGTCTTCTAGTTTAAAGTTTCAAGTCGAGTAATTCCATGAATTTTCTTTCGATTTTTAATTACATTTTAGTGGCTTGTACAACATCCGTGCAAGATCCATATCTTTTGAAGTGGTGTAAACAAGTTTTTGTTGAAAGGGAAATAACTGTGATGTAAAGGACAAATAATGAATTGAGGCTGACAAAATCGCAACAAATTTAATCATCATTGGTACTTTTATTTGGTCTGACTTCAGAACATGTAAAAAGTGCTCGCAATGTATGCAACATGTATAGAGATTTTTTTTCATCTTTTGTGATTCAACTATATATAAATCCTCCGTGCAGCAAACTACCAAGGTGTACATGTAATTTAAGTGATGCATACTTACATGTATGATGTCACACGGAATGTTGAAGGGGTAACTTCAAGTGGAAATCGTACAAGCAAAATGTAATTTTACTGCCCCACCAAACCAAAGATAACATATATTGACCTAGTATGTGCAGGTGCATCATACTTTTGCTTGGTTTGATGCCACAAATCTAGCTGTTCCAGCTGTTTGAGATTTTGTTTGCCCTTTATAGATTTGTAACGCACAACAGCTCTTACATACGTGTATATGTCATAAATATAGCTATAAATATTGAAACTTGATAAAATATCAAATGTAGTACTAATTGAACTAAGTACATGATTGCTTATAAGATGCAGGTATTTTACTTAACCACAACGTATCTCTGAAACCGTGAGTGAGACCCATGTTGGCATCTGAAAATAGCCAATTTCCATGCACACATTGGCTTGCACACATGTTACTAGGCATTGTCTCTGACTAGAGTTGTTATTGAAATGAAGTCACCGAAGTCACCCAATTTCTGCAAATTTGTGCAATTGCTTCGTTTCCCTGAATTAAAATTGCCAGTGATTCCTTCGATTTCAAACAAATACTACAGTATATCCCGTGGCTGTGGTTGTAGACCTGACCTAATTTGGGCGTATGATTACTGACCACTCAGGATGCCTTCTGGTGATAGAATCGTTCAATTACTGAACTAATGAACACATATCGACATGATTTGCACTAAAATGCCAATAGCCAGACAAGAGCATTGTTCATTCTTTTTGACTGAGTCCACCCTTACCCCAAAACATCATTTTGTGCATTAACAAAGCTGAATTTTGCAAAGTTTAATCCTTGCGCGCGTTACTGTTAATCATGCAGCTGCCAGATACAAGTTATTTTGACAGACCTGCTTGGTACCAAAACTCACTGAAGGCTAAAAACATGCTCAGGGGAACAAGTTATCAGCCTAGCTATCCTGCATTTTTCTGACTTGCTCTCAGCTGATTTCTATGAAGCATAAAAATTTGCTCAGGGCTAAATGGCTTATTTTGCTTAGGCCCCTAGAAGTGTTATGCTTCCAGTTTGCTGACTGACCCTATTTTGATGGCATGAAATTGGAAATAAAGATAGAAAAATGCATCAGATATTGTTTTTATGTGGCGCATAATGTTCCTTGGACATATTTATGCATGCAACTAGTACCCTTTAAAGTGTTCATTTCATTTGAGACAAATCAGCTGGGGAAACAAGGGGGGGGGAATTTCCTAGCTACCTACCATGTTTTCGAATGCCATATCATAGGAAGCAGTAGGGGGGGCAGCTTGTAGCTTTATGAAATTTGGCAGCAGGGCATCTCAACTTACAATCCTCTTCCCACTGGGCCTAACTTTACAGAGCTGTTCAGCAGAGATACTGCTCTGGAAATTCATGTGCTAAAATCTACCAATAAACCAAACAAAAAAAGAAGAAGAAATTACCCCACCAAGAGCATGCAGCATAACTTAGATTCGTGACCAAAGAAAACTGCCTTCATGGGAAAATTATTCAATTGCTTTAACTAAACTGACCTTGACCTTTAATCTATAAAGTCTAAAATTGATGGCCCTCCGAAAGGCACCGAGACTAACAAAGAAAGTTGGAAGCTGATATGCCCTTCTTGTTCTTCTTGAGTTATGGCGGGAAAACCGGTCCTATTTTAACCATACTGACCTTGACCTATTGGGTCCAAAATCAAGTGGCTTTTGCAGAACACCAAAACCAATGTAAATACTCAGTCTGAAGTTGATATGTCAAACACACAAAAGGACAAAGCAAATGTAGCAAAGCCCCTCCAGCTTCACTGGTGGAGCATAATAAAACTTACTCCCAGGGTATCTGAATGATGTTGCAACAACTGTCTTAGGCTTGCAACAAAACTACAACTCGGAAGTAAATACAGTCAGATGCAAACCGCAGTCAGTGAAGTAATTGAGGATTGCAATGTTCAGTAGACATTAAATATGTGACCCAACCCAGGAAAAGTAGCTAGTAGTAGCTTGTGTAGTTTTTCAGGCCCTTTGAGAAATCTTGTGTAATGGAAGTTTGTAGGAACTCCTAGCGACAGGAGTTCATAGATATATGTAATGTAGTAGAGTTCTACTGTAGTTGTAATCAGCTCATATGTTCTGCCAAGACCTCCAAAGTGAACTTAATCTTCTATGTAGTACCATCTCAGATCTCCTCCTTGAGTAGTGTGATTGCCACGTTATCATGGACTCCTTGCAGTAAGAGTTCCCCGTCGTAGCTGATGACCTTCTTGCGTTTGGCCGCTCTCAGAGTGCCCACCAGGGCCTCAAAGATATTGGCACATCGGTCGTCATTGAATAGCACTCCAAATGTCACCACCGTCTTGCTATCAGGTCCTGACAAGATAAGATGGTGAGACTTCTTAGCAACAAATAGTGACTGTACAGGGGTATTCCAAGGATCTTACATACCTACATGTACATATCTGTTTGGACATAGCATTGTGATAGATGGACTGATTAGGTACAAGGCGAAATAAACAAAACGTTGTTTCCCGTTGTTTTTTCCTGCCTCATCCCCAAACGTTTGAAACATATTTTTCAAAATAAATGTTACTGTTGACACATAAATATCAGTAAAAAGAGTCCCAAATATTTATCTACCCTCTTGAAAAATCTCTACAATAAAAAAATTAAAAGTGATTTCCTTTTCCACCCCCCCCCCCAAAAAAAAACTGGAGGAGGAGCTATTTTTTTCAGGGCCCAATGTTGGACTCCACGGATTCCTGTGTTCTGGGTGATGAAAAACTTAGAACTAAATTTATTTCAGTGTTACTATGACCGAGGCAGATCTTCTTTGCCATGGTACAATTCTTTAATGGCAGAGTCAAGTTTTCACAGGTTCTCAGAATCATACAAACTCACTACAGAGATGTACTGTCTCATAGTGTCATAGCAAAGTTGACATCCATAGATGCAGTTTCATAAAATGATATCCGAGCTCAAATCAAAGTTTAGGTGTATTTACTCTCAACCAAATAATTCCAAATATCTGTAATTCTGCCAGCTAAGACAGAGTTCCAAACACATATCGACCCTCCAGAAATATACCTGGTGATCCAAGCCGTTTAATCTCCTCTATCAGCATCTTGACTTCATGCTCAACATTCATGATTGATAATTATCTGCAGAAACTGGAAATCCAAAGCGAACTAAAAATTTATTCTTAATAGCAAAACAAAATTCAGAAGATATTCTAAGCGTGAAAAAAGTTGTGTATAAATTTTCCCCACCTGTAGCACTGTTAAGCGCAACCCTGAATCTTGTCCAAATTGATTGCACTCCCTTCTGAGTTGATTATCCAATGAATGAATTTCGTTCATAGGCAAATCAACTCTGGATAAAGTACAATAGAGTTGCGCAAGAATCAAGATTGTGTTGAATAGCACTTCTAACTGGTTTAAGAATGGCAGTTTCCATGATATTCTAATTTTTATAACTTATGATATAAAACGCACTCTCCAATTTGACTTGTCCAGTCTTGTGCCAATTTCTGGAGCATAGTGTAATTGGTGAGCAAAATTTTTATTGTCCTCCAGGCACCAGTAGGACCTAGGCCTATCTTGTTTTGTTATTCTAGTTGTGTTTTTTTAATAACTTGTTGTGGGGGTGGGGGATAATTATAGACGTGAATTTCCCCAAATAACTTTTACAGTAATAGAATCGGTATCTCCACATTATGACAAATAAGTACCGGTACTAGGCCTAAGCATAGGCCACATGACGTATCTCAGTTAGCCTAGGCCCTAGTATTAGGCCCAGCTGATTAGTTAAAGTGATACCCTAATCATTTTCAACTTTGTTGCACAGGAAATCACAGAATCGGACTTGTGGAAAGAGTAATGTATCCAGCCACCATGTCTCTCGAATTTAAAAGGCGACAAAATGTTTGAGAGTATTACCTGAAAACAACTTTCCTTTAGTCTTCGTTTAGACGATTTCAATTTTTCCCACGGCTTTTGATACGTACGTACATGTACACGTACTAGGCCTACGCCCCTGTTCAGTGTCGTCTGCTCCGCGTAAAAGTCAGCTGCGAATCTCTTCCGGATCTTTGCATCATGGGATACTGTGATAAGCGCATGCGTAAATGGTCCCGTCGTTTAGCTGGTTATCGATCGATGTCAAGGTTTCAAAAACACCCACACGAGGGCAACTACCAGCGAAATGTCAATGTGATGTGCACAGCTAGCTACAGCTCGACCGACGAAATATCTTCATATGCACTGACTGTGTACAACTGCAAGTTCAGTTAATTGTGCAGGAGGTACATGTAAACTCGTTGGAAACCGGGATGTCAAGATATATTTTCTGTTTCTGAAGACACATCAATCCCAAGAATACACAAGATTTGTGTACCTCCGAAACAGGAGTGGTCTTAGGGGAACAATGAACGTTCACAGCCTGGAGATGCTGAATTCACGCGCAATTCGCGAGGAAATTCAGCGATTCGAAAGTGTCCACCCACATATCTACGCCATCTACGACCTTTTAGAGCAGATAGAAGATCCCATTCTGCAAGACCAATTTCGTGAACATGTCGTCTGTATCGAAGGTAAGTTATTCCATCATGGAGCTGAACATGTGTATTCGATGGTGTTATATACATGTACATGTAGGCCTACCATGACCATGAAGATGATGTATGTAGACTGAGATGTAGACTGAGATCGTGCTGTCACTTTAGTCCAGACCCTCAGTTTGACGACACTTTTGCCATTGAACACATTCCCCTCACAACATTGCAATTTGTAGGCTTACAAAACTTTAGAACTGTTGTGGTCATTCAGTGCCAGTGGAAACCTTTTAGCGTAGAAATGAAGCTGCTTATCATTAAACACACTGTCATGACTGTAGTGTTACTGGACATACATGTACTGGAATGTTCGTTAACCCTAACACTCCCAAATCCTCCAATTTTAATACGATTTTACATACACCCTAGGGTGTGACGGTTAACAAGAGGAAACCTGTAGAAATTGCTGTACAAAAACTACAAAGTCCCGTAAATAAACAGCATACCGGTACTGTGGTAGGTCTACACAACATCCAACATGTCCAAAGAGGACTTCAGATTCCTAACTTACACCATACATGTATTGTACTGTTGAATTGAGGGATGATGCGGCTGAAAAATGGTTTAGCTGAATGACACATTTAGTGTAGCCTAGGCCTCATTGCAAAATGAGTGCTGATTCATCTTTATTAAACAAGGACATTGTTAAAACTCCCAATGTCTATTTCACCGATACATTTCCATTGACAGATTTTTATAAAGGCCTGTTGGACCACTAGTAAATTCTGAAAAAAAAGTTGGTTTTCTCTAGTCTCCCTCAGTACATGTATGTGCTAAGTTTACTGAAGTTGTTGGAAAAATGTATTTTATTGATGTGAGGTCCCCATGGGAGAGATTTTTTCTTGACTTGTTCAATTAGTCATGTCGCAACACAAAGGGTCCATGTCATACTTGACAAGTAATTGTAACATTGGTCCCAACTATGGATGATCCAAAAATACATGTACAGTTGGACAATGATACCAACTACGGTACTGTACTGTCGTGATTGCGTACTGTGCCACAGTTGGTCCAGCCATCAAACGCTATTCAGGAGCGGGTAATGAGTAAGCCAGGATCTCCCTAGAGTTTCTGTCTGCTGACTTCTGAAGGATCTTACATTAACATGAAATTAACAGTAAAAGGATGACCAGAAGCAGACTACATGTACATATAGTAACTTCAGAAAGGATATCCCCTCGTAAAAGTTAATTTACATGTTATGTGCACTAACGTGTTACCCCTTGTCTCCTTTCAGTTTGGTTTGAAGTTGTCTGCTTGCACGGAGACCTTTAAACTAAGATCGTGAACAGAAACTGTCTATGATATGTGTCCCAAATAAACACTGTTTTGTGGATGAATTAATGATCCACTTTTTGATTGTTTAGAACTGCTCCTTTAATTTTTAAGACATTTACAGTGATGGAATGCGGGCAGTTGGGGCCCTGAAACATGTATGTTTCCCAATGTGTACAGTTTGGAATGTACATATACATGTATTGTAATGCATTATGATTTGTTGTATTTGTTTTTCAGTTGCCTACTACATAGGTAGATGGTATGTAAATGTACAACTGGGACATGTATATGTAGTTTTTTTTATTTCAAATATCATATGTGCATACCTGGTCTAGAGTACTCTGGTGTTGAAGTGTGACATCATTTTGAACCCTTAAGTGTAGTGCAAATGAGTGCGGTACACATGCATTGGTTCTTGCGCTAATGCCTTTTACACACATAATTGTGTGCGTGATGTACTCAGTTTGGTACCTGTATACCTGAACTGTGCATGAGCAAAATTGGCACAGTTGCAGGTATCATCCCACCTGCATCTACAGGCACTTGACGATTGTGTCTAATTGTTTGGGCTGTTTATCTTATCTTGTTGGAAACGCACCTTTTGATAATTGTGTTGTTCTTTACGGTACATGGTACACTACTGATCACAGCAGGGACTGAACTAAATGTATGTAATTTGAACTATTTTCCGTACGGTTGATTGCCTGTCCATATGGACATGTTTCTTTGCAATTTTCATTTCAACACGAATCGGTATATTGCTCTTACACGTATATGTATATGATTTAACAATCGTCTGACGTCTGTCCCAAACCATTGCACACATTCACTAACTTGTCCAGTGGTGTTCAGGAAGATACTTGTGCCGAATATCCTGATTTTCTTTACTGACATTTTTCCCAAGGACACTGTTGATATCAGGCGAAACAGTAGTCCTAAAGTGATGCATTTCATGATAAAATCAAGGGCTCTGAAAAAGCTCCACAATCAGTGGACTGATTTCCTCCAGCAAACCAGGGGCGAGAACAACAAGCACTAGGTGAGAATTTCCTGGAGTTCAAAGTGCTGATGGATGCATTGGCAGTCCGTCATTAACACTTGATAAGGAATGACTCATGAGGCTTGTTTTGACAGATTAGAGTGTTCAGCTCCAGTGAGATTGTTTGGAATTTACACATATACATGTACCTGCAAGAAAGATGAGCTACTAAATAGAATAAAAAAATGGGAATCAAGTTCATGTGCATGGGTGCCGTAAAAGTATAAAGAACTTGGATGCTAACTTCAGCCTGTTTAGAGGAAAGGATATGAAATTGTGAAATACATTAGGAAAAGTTAATTCATTTTACTAAATGGTAACATCTAGTGTGCGCATATTGCATGGGACTAAAAGTTACTTTCCACAGCTTGTAAGTGCTGTAGACTTTTTGACAGATAGAGACCAATATGCACTTAGTACATTTTGTACATAGGCCTACATCTATTGAATTTCGGTGAGCAGTTCTCCTACATGACACGTACATGTACGTGTAGCTGCCGGCAATGTTGAAAATGGAGATTGTAACCAAATGATTGAAATTCCTGTATATTACATCTCTTTGATTACATTGTACAGACTTGTAAAAATCTGCTTATGAGCCTGAGGGGAAAAGGACTGTAAACTGAGCAGTGTTTTTGTGGATTCCCCTGCCCTAGTACTTTAAAGCATTATGCATGACAATGTGTCATTCAAGGCTAGTTGGGATTATCGGCATACCTTGTGGTTGTCTGACCATGGCAGGATGAACTGTGCTACGTGTAGAGTCTGTGAAACCGTGTGGGCAGATGGTCCCAGGAAGAGAGCCGAACTGAATAAGCTGCTTGTGAGTTAAATTTGAATAAAATCTGGTACCCTGTGTTATCTGATTGCATAGAAACATAACAATTTGAATTCCCCAGACTAAAGACATTGTTGCTATACCTTGTGATCCAGGGCAAGCTTTTGCTTAGCAACTGCCATCTCTGGAATGGACTGGTTCCTTTGTGCCGTTCTTATCCATTGAGAACAATGTATTGTTGCAAGGCGTCTCTTATGTAACTTAGGAAGAGCTTGCCCGAATCACGAGGTATAGCAACAGTGGCTTTAGTATGGAGCATTCCAATTTTTATGTTCACGTGAATTTAAAGAACTCAGTGTACCAGATTTTATTCAAATTTAACTCGCAAAAGACTTATTGCTTTCATAGTCTACATATAAATGGAATTAGAAACTCCGGTAAAGGTTGAGGTGTGCGGGTTAAAATTGGCATTGCATTTTGAAGGGACTGTCTTAAGAGAAAAAGCCTTTTATGCTTTTAAGAATGCACTGTTGGAAGCATACATGTACATGTATGAGGTTCAAAATTATTCCCATACTGCTGTCCAAAATACGTACCTGTACCTGTACCTTTGAACTTGCCTCAGAAATGTGCAGGTGGGCAAGGACCACCTTTAAACAATTAAAACAAGATGTGTCTTATTGCACTGACTGAAAAAATGAACTGTGATGTATTTGGGAATCATCAAGTGGACTTACTGGCAAAGCAAAACAAGATACAACAAGGAGCTTCAGTGTCATGCTGAGTATTTTGTCCTGCCCATGTTTACAGGCTTGGTTTTCATTTTCCGAGGGGGTTGTGTTATAAAGTTTAAAAAAAAAACCCTTTTTGTTTAAACTGTGTCACTGTGTGTGTACAGTGTTCATGTAAATTAAGCCGACATTTAATCATGTCTAGAATTGTTTAAACTCAAAGGCTTTTATGTCATTGGAAATGAAGCTTTTCTCTAAAATTTACTGTACATTTTTACCACTTGTGGTTGTGCCAAAATTGATAGAGGTTCTGTGTACACAAAAGTTTGTTCACAGCATGCAGTGCCATAATCACCTGACCCTGGTTTGTCCTGTGCCTTGCCTGAACCTGTGGTTACAGAGCGAGAAGATGATCTATGGGTACTGTAGGAAAGTATGTGGTACTGCAGTACCCTCAACAGCATCAAACAGGAAGTCAGCTTGTCTATTAACTGAGTTCCTGCCGAAGCATGTGCCATTGGTAGGGACGGTAGTGTGACATGGACATGGAATAAGTACACAGCTTCACTTCCGTTTTTAATTAATATGCATCAAATGAGGCATGTCTTTTTGTGGAAAAAACTAGACTAGTAAAATTGGACACGAATGCAATAACCAAA